AGGCTGGTGTGCTTCTTCCATGTGGGCTTTGTTGCTTCTGAGCTTGATGGCCGCTTGATTACCTTCAAGCCTTTAAGACCCCAGATGCTATCTTTTCTTCCTTTATTTCCCATAGTGGCTCCCTGCACTCAATAACCGGGCCAGTCTTGGGAATAATCTGGATAATCCCAGAGCGAGCGAGCGAGTGCTGCCCGTCCAGCTCGCACCCCCCACCCACTTACAGAGATCAAGCACTCGGTCTCCCCAGCAGCCTTGCCAGATGGAGATGCTCCCTGGGATGGCAGTGGTGAGGCGCCATGGAGTGGATTTTCAACTCCTATCAAGGCCATGGGCAGCGAGGAGCTGCCCGTCGGGTGTTCGAGGCTCTAGTCTGTGGGAGCAGATGGTCATGACTTTCTACGTGGATTTGAGCCACCAACTTTTCGGTGAGCAGCTGGGAACTTAGCCACCATGCCACCAGGACTCCATCACCCAGGCTCAGCCCACTGGCGATGTGGGGCAAGGCCATGAGCCCAGGGGTCCAGCGCCATGATCTCACCACTGCCCCACCCAGCCTGGCCCTCTCCTGACGGGCCATGACCCACGTGCCTGCACCTCCATCCTCCAGAAGGGAAAGCCGAGGCTCGGAGCCGGTGAGCCTGAAGGTGCTGGCACACAGACCCCAGGCCCCTAGTTCCACTGACTTTAAGTCGTGCTCTTGAAAGTGAATTTTGCACGCGGACTCCGTGCTGGAGTAAGAGACACCCCCACCACCACATGCAGGAAAGGGGCCGTTCGTGAGAAGCCCCTATGAGATGGGAGATGAGTCCTTCTGCTCACAAGACATTCCCCACCTGGTGTCTCCAGGAGCCCACGGACACACTGGGATGTGGAGCTGGGTACTCAATGTCCCGAAACTACCGGCAAAAGAAACCATGTGGCAGGCTGGGGTGATGGTCCTAGGTTCAAATTCAGGCTCTGCTACATCCTGGTGCTGCCACGTGGGCCTCGGTTTCTTCTTTACAGAGGGCCCAGGAGTTCCTGCCCTTCGATGCATCTCCCTGCCCCCACCCACACCTCTCCAGGCTGCAGTGAGGATAAGATTCCCTTCCCCAGGGGGTCGGAGGACCCAGCAGGCTGGGTTACCCAAGGGCAAGCACCTATACGCTGCCTGCAGGCATGAGGCCTCTCGCAAGAAGGGCCATTCGCTGTCCCGCTGGGGAGCCCAGAGGCCATCACCCAGAGCCCTCACAAGAGCCGTCTGGGGTGAAAATCCTTACTGCTTCAGGGCCACACCCTCCTGGAGAACCGGGGCTTTCCACCTGCCCCGACAAGCTCACTGAAACGTGGGGGGCTGGAACCTCCCCGGAGGTGCCTCTAAAGCAGCGGTTCTCAACCTGTGGGTCACAACCCCCTTGGGGGTCGAACGACCCTTTCACAGGGGTCACCCGATTCATAACAGTAGCAAAATGACAGTGATGAAGTAGCAACGAAAATAATTGTATGGTTGGGGGTCCCCACCACAAGAGGAACTGTAATAATTGTATGGTTAAGGGGTCCCCACCACAGGAGGAACTGTATTAAAAGGTGGAGCAGTTTCCTCTGACACACAGGGGCTTGCCCAGAGTCCGGATTGTGGCTCCGGGTCACTCCAGTCTCCTGCTGGGCAGGTTTGTGTCTCTAGTTCTTCCTGGCTCAATACTTGCTTCCCCCTGCTGGTGCCAACCACTGTCCTGGAAGGGAAGGGATGGCGTAGCCCTACCTAACCAAAGGTGTCCTGCAGGTGACACGGTGTACCCTGTCCCAAGCGGGTGCCTGGGTCCTCACAAACCACAAGCACGTGGGCACGTGACTGACCGACCCACAAACAAGCGCTCAGCACTGGGGCGCTGGAAGAGGCACGGGATGTGTCAGGGACCTCGGGGACGCCTGGAAGGAGCAGCTCAGCACAAAGGAAGGGGCCGAGACGATTCTTACAGTGTGTGGAGCTCAGAGGCACCCTGAGAACTCAATGGGCCCTTCAAGGCTGGAGCGAACCATCTTCCCGAATGCCTCCGCGCCGTCTTTACAGGGCACGGTGTTGGGAGGGGAAGGACCAGCCGAAGCCAGCCCCCAGACCCCCGTGTGCTTGTGCCGAACAGCGCACAGCCGAGGAGGAGTCTCATAATGATCGCACAGCCCCGGTAATTTATGCTAATAGCTGCGTTCCGACGACACAGCGGAACCAGAAACAGCTTAATCCTGCTCCCCGCAGCCAGTGCGTCAAGCCCCCTCCCATGGCTTGAAAGGCTCTGAGCACCCGGCCCGCTTCTTTGTCCCTCTCCCGAGTTCACAGGCTCCTGGTTACCTGGTAACCTGCGCCTCGAACCGGCCCCGCCCCCGCCCCCTGTGAATTCTCTAAGAAATCCGGATCTCTGAGCACATGGAAGCTGCAGGGGTCCAATCCCTGATGGGCATTGTCCCTGCCCCCAGCTCATCTGGCATTCACCATGACACCACCATGCTGATCTGCAGGACCCCAGGCTCCCACCCCCTTCCCTGTGTGAACTACGGTTTAGGGGGGGGTGTCAGGGGGTATCAGGGGATGTCCACACAGAGCGGCCCTGCCTTAGAAAGCAGTGGTGTTAACACTGACAGTAACACTACTGAAATAAAGACTAGGGAAAGCTATGCCGTCTTCTGGGCAGGGCACTGAACCAAGAGTTGAGCCCAGAATGAAGTCTCACCCCTCAGCCGGGTACTGAGGGTCTGCGCTGAGCCTGCCCTCAACTTCTCTGAGGCCCCAATTCCTCCACGCACTCCACTCACCACCCCCTCCACACACAAAAGACCCTCACAGTCTGTTCTGGCTGGGCCTCCCCCAGCCTCTCAGCCTAGCGTTCCCCCATCTTTCAAAGCCTCTCTCAGTGGTTCCCTTTCTGGGACGCTACCCGTCCCTGTTCCTCTCAGGAGCCATCTTGCTGTCCTGCGCAGCCTCCGTCCAGTCAGGCCCCGCCTCAGCAGGCTTAGAGGGACACCATCCCTACAGCTTTCAATGGGCTGATGTCAAACACACACTGCCAGGCCTGGCTTCCTAGTCTGTCCTAGCGTAGAGGCTCCTAGTCCATCACCACTTGTTCAACATTTCAGCCGCATGTAGACCATCACTGACCACTGGGCGGGGGCTGAATATGAGGTGCACTGGCCAGGGATGGAACCTGGGTCTCCTGCATGGAAGGCCAGGGATCGGACTACTGGAACCACCGGGAGTCACCTTTGACCGTTAAGAAGTAGAAGGACAAGCAACAAGCACTAGGAAGGTTGATCAAGACTGAGAAACCTTCAAGACTTCAGTTGTCACATAAAGTCTATATGTGCCCCCCTCCCACCACCGTAACCAGGATGTTAGCAGGCTACAGAAGCACGGTGCCGATCAGAAAAGAGCCAGGCAAATCCAGGCTGCACGCAGCCCACTCCAGCCAGGAACTAGCCCTGTGCTCCTGGAGAATTCCCTTCTCTGGGCCTGTTTTCTCTTCTGCGAGCCGTATCAGATATTACAGGTGGTCCCCAACGTATGGTGTCTCTCTGATGAACCACACTTAGGACTGTTCATTTTTTTTAATGATTTGTGAGGCGTTTGGTTTTTTAAAAAAAATTATATGTAGTAAAACAGATCTGTACATTTATATGTAATGTTTCTAAAGGTAAGGTTTCTAAAGAAACTAATCATAAAAGGCAATAAGAAGAAGAACTCAAAATCAAATTCACTGGAGTTGATTCTGACTCACATGACCCTACGGGACAGGATAGAACTGCCCCTGGGGGTTTCCGAGACTGTAACTGTTACAACAGCAGACGGCCTCCTCTTTCTCCCATGGAGCAGCTGGTGGTTTCAAACTCCCAACCTTGACGTTAGCGGCCCAATGTATAAGCACTATGCTACCAGAGATCCTATAAAAAATAAAAAATAAAAGCGAGGGGGCCAGGAAGGATGTATTTGACTTATGTCAGAACCTAGGTGTGACAGTTGTTGGGCCGGAACCCTCACTCGTTAGCATTTTGGGGTTTGGAGGAAAGGCCACCAGTGCAGGCTGAACACTGTTTCCAAAGGCCTCTCCCCGGAGAGTACGAAACTCTTCCTGACACAGCGAGGAGCCCTGTCGGTATGTAATAAGCACTGGTCCCGCCCAAGCAGGCATGCTTGCTGAAGGCTCAGGCCGAGGCCAGGAGGAGGGTTTTATGACGAATATTGAAGCAGAACAGCTGCTGGCTTTCCTTCCACTAGGGCCCCAGAGGGCATTGTTAAAAAGTGTCCCCACTGGGTTGTCTGAATGAAGGATGGCAGTGGTACAGGGGCAGCGCCAAGGAATGAGGGGGTGGCTGGGCCGTGCCTTCCAGTTTTGCCAGGACCCAACACATAAAATGCAGCTCAGAACCAGGAGCTTCAGAAAAACCAGGTCGGGTCTGTGGCTGACGGAAGACAGGGATGCTGAAGGAAGCTGAACTCCGGGAGGCCTGGTGCTTGCCACTAACGGGATCATTAAAGGCAGCTTCTGAATCACCTCCCTTTGGCCTGTGTGCATCTTTACTCCCGGGGCCTGTGGGGGGGGGGGGCCTTTGAGCCCACAGATGAGAGTGGAGGAGCTGTCACATTTACTTGTCATTTGGTAATTTTCAGTGAATTAGGGGTATGGGGTTTCTATCTGCCATCTGGCCCCACTCTGGTAACCATGGCAACCACCATCTGCCAGGCTTAGGATGATCAAGTGCTGTCCCGAAAGAGCCCTGGGCAGGGGTGTCAGGGGTTTGGGAGCTGGCCAGGCTTTGCAGTCACCCTGGGTAAGTCCCCTGCCCACTGGGTCTCCGGTCTCCTTCTCTGCATACTAATAGATTTAGTTTAAATGTCTTTAAGGTGTCTGTCCCAGAAAAAGGGACCCTCCACAGGGATGTGATCTGAGACCAGGAGTCCCGCAGAGCTTCCAGGACTCAGAGACCTGGTCGGCATTTCTTAGGTATCCATCCTGCTTGCAGGGCTGAGAGTGTTACCTGTCTGAAGACAAAGAACTGCCTGCGAATTAACTGCTTAGGAAAGCAGATAGTGAAACCCATCCAGACAGGAACAAAGGGAAGACAGTGGGGGGTGGGGGTGGGGTTATATACTGCTTAAATGCCAGGGGGCAGAAACGAAGGTTCAAGGTGGAAGGGAAATCCACAAGCTGACAGGGCCCAGAGAGGGGAAGGGACTGGCCCAAGGACATGCAGGGAATGGGCAGGAGCACTGGAAGCACCAGTCAGAGAGCACCAATCTGGAACAGCCAACGGAAACCATCCCGGGTCCCTGGGTTACCCCAGGCTCCTAAATGGAACATGCATTGTCTAGGTTTTCTGCCCCATCTGTCAAAACCCTTCTAGTCTCTGGACTCTGCATCTACCTGGAATGCTTCAGGGGACAATAACACGACATATTCCTTAAGGGAAGAGGTTCAGTGAGCCAGGTCTGTGTGCCAAAGTCAGCTACTCAGTGTTAGGAGTAAGTCTGGAGTGGGTCTCCAGGCTCAGGGCAGAATTCTTCCCTCCATATCTGAACCTCTGACCTCCAAACCAGGCTCACGCAATTTCAACTCTCTAAAGACAGCAGCCAGGGTTACCCACTGCTATGAAGTCGATCCCGACTCATTTAGACCCCGTTATAGGTTCTAAGGCTGTAAATTTTTTGAGGGTGTAAATCTTTACGAGAGCAGATAGTCTCATCTTGCTCCCGAGGAGAGGCTAGTAGGTTTGAACCACGGACCAGTCCTACCAGGCCATTCTACAAAATCTTGTCCCCAGTCCACACATGCTTAGAGAGCAAGCAAAACAGGCGGCTTGGCTAGACAGCCTCATACTTAAGATCTTTGGGGATAATTTATAGAGTGGGGAGAGATGGCACCCAGAAACAGCTGCGTGGTGAGACTAAGAAATAGTCTAAAACTAGGGCTCTAGAAGTCCATTGTAAACTATTCTTGAAATTTTATTCATTACGGAAAGTGAACCCTTCCAAACTACCTAAGCCCAAAGCTCACAAAACCTGGGTCTAGCTCTGATGACGCCGTGGTCTGGCCTGAACTTGGATCTCCCAAGGGCATACGCGTTCTGGATGGACGCTCCCTTAGGTCAACAAGCCTGACTGCCGATGCCCAGGCGCTCCGCTCCTGTGACTTCTGGGACCCAGTCTGGAGTCCCCTTGGGACATCCTCCTCCTCCGTTCAAATAACCTACCCCTAGCACAGGGCTGGAGCCCACCTGGGGACACAGAATGGAAACCCCAGAAACTGTCTCCCAGTCTGTTTGGGACAAACAGCGGGTATTTAGGAGATTCCAAGCTTCTGCGTCGTTCCGCGGCAGGTGTCTCCAAGAAGTTAGTGAGGGAAAGTCCGGGATGTAGATTCCCATCCCCATCTCCTCGAGTGTTCTGGGGTTAGTGGGGTCCCGCTTTCTCCATCCATCCCAGCCGGACTCACCGAACTCGCAGGGTCCGTCGTGCGCCTTGTGCAGGTGGGCCAGGTGCGCGCGGGGCGCGTGCCGGGCGCGCAGACGCAGCGCGCAGACGCTAGGGTAGGAGCGGCCGTCGGAGCCGCAGACCGAGCCGCGCTGCGCGCACACACAGAGCCCAGTGCCCTCGGGCGCCGTCCCCGCGGCTCGGCTGGCGCACACCAGGCCGGGGCCACAGCGCGCGCCCGCCTGCCCGCCGCAGCTTGCGCCCTCGGCGCCCAGGCAGAGCGCGCAGCAGCCGCACACGTCGCGCGCAGAGATGCTGGGCGCAGGGCAGCGCGCCGGGACTGGGCAGCGCTCCGGCCGGCACGGCCCGCACTCAGGACGCCGGCTGCCCGCGCCGCGGAGCCCCAGGCCGG